ATTCACTGTGCATCAACCACACACAGCGCATCAACAATGCACACCGCGTCAGCAACGTACAACTTGTACAACTTCGTGCGAGCTTCACCTAACGTGTATGCGAGCCAGCGTCAGCAACGTACAGCTCTCACAGCTTTGTACTTGCAACGCGTCAGCTACACACACTAGTCAGCCACGTACAGTCTATACAATCACGTACTTGCAACGCATCAGCACCACGCAACGCTTCGCACAGCACTGACAATGCCTTAGCTCCATGCCAACTCACCAACTTCACTCTGCGAAATCCAACACGCAACCACCTATAACGCGATCGCAGCGCTCGCTGCAGTAGCACGACCATGTGCACACAGCGCGCTACGCTATGCCTAGCCAGCACACGTAACCAAGTCACTAGCCAATCCGGTACGTGCACTGCAACTCATTAATAAAATTAGACTAGCTCTAGTCCTATACACTTTCCGTCACAATACCAACATCCCTGAGATTTCTGAAACACAAATGAAATTATTGTCTGGTCACTAATCTTTCAATTTTTTTTCAATTTTTTTGTGGGTTAATCAATTACATTTTTAATTATTCCCACAAAACAGAATCACCCCCGAAAAGTGATTTTTCCGAAGTCTGATTGCAGCCATTTTTCAAGTGGCAACCCTCAACTTTCTCGGCCACTTAGGACCATTTTTCAACCATAGTTTTTAGCCATTCTGCTCTCATCTGAAAGCTCACAGACTTAGGGAGTTGATTCTGGAAACGATTTACACAATCTCACCATTTTGGGGGGCCAAACAATCTTCTTTTTCAAAAGATACTATAGGGATTTTTTTAATGCTAATGACCTGGCCAGAAATTTTCATTTTAATTAGTGGACTACACCTCTCAGCAGTAGTGCACACAAAAGGAGTGGTCACACACAGCGTTAACTTAGTGAACCAGGCCTCCAGACTGTACACTGCGTGTGTAATGGCACAAACTAGACAAAACATAAACTTGCACCAGTCCTGC